TTCCAAATGAGCCTAAACACAAAGCTTTGTATGAGTTTAAACATTGTGAAACACACTCAGCACTGGAGTATAAATAGGTATGCAAATTGTAGTTTTACTTTTAAAACAGAGAAATGCAAATTCATTGCCATGTTTATTAACGGCACAATATTATGATTTGAAAACATCATTGCGAGGACCTAGTGTGGCTCAATATGGATGGCCTCAGTGTGGCCAATTATATTTTGAACACCTGTTAAGCCACATTGGAAAAATCTATAAAGAGGAATCATTCCTCTGAGAACAATAAGAAAACCCTCAGAAGTTTTCCAGCAATAGCTCCAACAAACTTCTGGGGAACAATTGGTGGAACTCCCTTGACTTCTTCTGGGTCGGGTCAGGTTAGGATTCAGAACAATGAGGAATAGATGAGGCCACAGAGGCAGAGGTTGTGTAGTGTTTGACCAGTACCCACTGAACTGATATTGTACTCTGAGTGGAAGTTATTATGTCAGAGTGGAAAACCGTTGGAGCAACATCCAGGGTATCACTGGACACAAGCTCTCCACTGAAGTCAATACTAATTTAATTCCTTTAGGTGTTCGTAGCTCTTTAAGGTAAAATGATCAACCCTACTGAACGATGAGAAAGCTTTCGCTTATGCACAAAAAATGGAGGAATATATTCATAAATGCAACACAAGTTAATAATATATTTGAAAGAATGATTAAAATAAAAATCTGATATGCTGGCACAACACAAGTCGAACCACAGTGTGCAAGATAAAAGCAGCCTCTCCTGAATTCAGCATGCCTTAACCTTAATGCAAATTTGACATTTATTACAGGAGCTGTGAATTGTGAAGCTCAGTGAACCATTAGAAATACAGCCCATCTCATAAAGCGTTACGATTGTGTTTGCTGAATTCATTTTGTTTGACAGAAACCCGCTACATTGTCGACTGACATAAATATCAATGACATGCACAACATGTAACCGCATGCCAAGTTAGTATCCTGATCAAACTGATCAAACAGACGGACAAGCGGTGCCTTGCAGAGCAGATCCTTGGCTCAGGAAACGCTAACAGGTGTGCCTTTGTCGGTTTTTCCATTCAGCAACAATTAACACATGAAGTGTAAAATATCTCCAGGATGTTGTTCGGTCTATTCGTCAACAGCGTTATCCATAATATGATCATTTGTGGAACTTCTTTGCGAAACTTTAATCATTTCAGCCCTGTGTTCATGGTAGTGGAAACCTGCTTTGGGCGTTGGTTTGCTTCCTGTTGCTGATGGCCACTTTGGTACATAGAGTGCACTCCTACATTTGGCTAGCAGCTCAAGTGAGCAGTGCCCACCTGGTGCATCTGACTCATAATCTGAGATTTGCAGCCTCAGAAGAGGAAGACAGAAGGGCATTAGCGTGCTGCGAGTGCACTCAGTGACACCTGCACCCCTTCAGCGGTGGAAGTACCTATTTATTTACAAGGTGTTGTTATCTTAGATTATGTCTGCAGTAGAGCCTGACAATTACTCGATTTCAAATCAAAATTACTATTTGAAAACGGTGCAATTTGCACATCATAAAGGCTGCAATTTAGGATGTATGCCAGTCATGCTGCTGATCGTATCGCTTTCACATGTTTTCTGTCTATTGCACAGTAAATATTAAACTGAAGCTTGACCTGCATGCAAATGACACATGCAAGATCTGCCAGAAAAATATTTTCCCCATATTGCCTGGAACTAGTCTACAGTGAAAAAAAAAAAAAAAAAAGAAAGAAAAAAAGTGAAAAATAAACAAATATATATATATAGCAGCAAGGATTCCAGAGAAAAATATGTCATAAATAATGGAATTGTGTAATGTTAAAAGACTGGAAAAAATTAAATTAAATTACATTAAAAAATAGTGAAAATAACTGCAATTGTGTGTAAAATATGGATATTTTAGTGGATTTATATGCAGTAAAACAGTGTAATTATATTATTATTCTGCCCTTTAACAGTGCTATAAATTTGAGAGAGGAGCCTGTAAATCTCAAAACAGTCGCCTTTTCATAGTTAATGTTGCGTGACATCCAAAAGCTGGCCCTGGGATGGACCTGTCCAGGATGTTTCCTGCCTTCGCCCTAAGTCAGCTGGGATAGGCTCCAGCGCCCCCACAGCCCTGCTGAGGATAAAGTGGTGTATAGTAAATGAATGGATGGACATCCAAAAGCTTTTAAAATTGTTATGACCAGACAGAAAAACTCTTATGATCCTTGTCTGTTTCAGTTACTTTGCTGTGAGCACTGTTCACCTAAATGTGCTCACTTGCCAGATTTTCCACAAATTCTGAATTGATCCTTATTGTACAAATGCTGCTGTGGGCCAATGTCACAGCACCAGCATCTAGTCCTGTATTATTCCATGCTATGCTGAACAATTTATGTATTTGATTTTTTTTCTATGATTAATTATCCTGTTTATTATCAAAAGGTGATTGTATAGCTGGGGCTATGACTTTCTGCTCACACACTCTGCCTGAAAATGAGCAATGACTCTTACACACGATTACAGAATTTTACCCAAAGATGGGAAGGAAATCAAAGTGACACGGAACAAAACCTGACAAGGTGGCTTTAATGTTCATCTTGCCTCATCAGAGCAGTCACTCCAATCTTCTGTTGTCTGTAACAACCAGTAGAGGAGCTGTCAAGTTGCTCATTTGATAAAAGGCACGCTAAGTTGGGTGACAAGGCCTGCTACCGTGTTCTAATATGTCTATGTTACACTGTGTTATGCTTGATCAACCAGTAAATCTCCAGAAACATGACCTCAATGGAGCCTGGGAATAAATGGGAAACTGTCTTGAAATCTTTTGATAGCAGCGCTCTTGTTGTTTTTGTGTTTAAATAACGGAATTTCAGCAAAAGTCAGTTTAAACTTTAAAGAAGAAGAAGCTATTTAAAAGTATACTGTTATTTAACCATGCCTAAACTGGCCTGAAACAAACTACTGACTGATTCCAATTAGATTTACCATTTGGCTTATAGCGTTGTAATACAGTCACATCAGACACCTTGCACTTTATTCCATCATCTCTGGATACTAGCTTCTATATTGTTATGTCCATGGTTGAAATCTTACTTGTGACAGTCCGGCAGAACAGTGAGGATGTAGTCTGATGTAATTTGATGTAATTCAATGAAAAAAAAAACTAAACTAAACTAACCACAGAAAAGTCACGGTTTAAAAGTACATAAACAAAGCAGATCAGATGTCACTGGAAGACATTTTTGCTTGTGTCTGTTTTGACACACCAGCAGTGACTCATGAAGGCTTGTCGCCCTGTTGGCAACACAACAGTGAATAGCGGCACACATTTGTCCAAGGGGTGAACTTCTCGTTCGCCAGCCTCTGTGCTAACAGGTTGGTTACTTTTAACCCATCTCTTTTTTAGATGATGACCACAGTACGACAGAAAACATGAGGTATAAAGGTATTCAGGTTCGGGGCTGGAAGGAATACATAACAAGTGATACAGTAAACAATTACGTCATCTACAAAAAAAAATCCTCCTCTTTTTGTATCTCTGTAATAGCTTGTGATCAACTCAGGCTGTATTTTTCGACTAAATAAATATGTAGCCCTCTATTTTTCTGATTTTTTTAAAAACATATTCAGAAACATGGCTAGCCATTGAGCACACATGAAAGAACAGAGCATGCAGGAATGCATGCATGACTTACATGGCTGCCTCCTTCAGTTGGGTAAACATTTATGTTAGTGGCCAAGGCTGATTTTGTTCTCTGAGCAGGAATGCCTATGTACACACCTAGTCATGGCAACCAAGAAGTATTCTGTAGGGATTCCAGCACTGCAACTGTCACATGTAGTCAAGTGCTGCTCACTGTCGAGATGATTGTGTTTCCTCTGCTCTCCCAAGCCTCTCGCTCTGTCTTTTTTTTTTTTTTTTGCACTCTCTCAGTGTTTCCTCCTTTTCTTGTCTCCTCTTATCCTTAATTTCTGTCGGTCTGCCTCTGCACCTCTTTTTGTCTCTGTCCCTCCCACAGTCTCAGACTCTGTGAACTATTCCTGCGTTGCTGAAATGTCATCAGCAGGAGTGGGTGACAGGAGAGTAGATAATGACTAAACTTGGACAGTGCCATGGCAACAGCTTTAGCTCATGTGTGTGCGATAGGTTGCAGGGAGGAGAGGCAGGAGGGGAGGAAAACACAAACATACGAAGCCATGTCTGTCACATGAAGTAAATCTGAAAGGGGGGGAGGGAGGGAGGGAGGCAGAGACAAAGGTATTTTTCTCCATGACAACAGCATCTTGTCACAGCCTTTGTTCATGTGTCATTTTAGGATGTTTAAAGAAAAATTATGACTTAATTTAAAATTTTACAATCCACTGATAAACACATATACACTCTTGATTTCTTGCTTTCGAGAGTCACAACCATATACTGAATCATTCATGCAGAGAGAAAAAAAAAAAGAAGTGGTGGGGGTGTGAAGTATAAATAGCAATTCCACTTTGCACAAAGCCAACCCTGCTCCTCTTAAATGAGCGAAAGAAAAACCTGCTCCTGCATCAAATCCACGCTGAATGTCGCAAAGCACTGCTGCAACATACAATGTGTTAGTCTTTGGACACAAAGGGCAGAACCTGAGAGCTGCTGGATTAATGAGTGTAGAAGCTGGGTTTGGTACTCCAGTCTTCATGTTTTTCTCTCAGCCATCACGACAGGCATGAAAGCCTTATCAAGCAAACAAAGGCAGTCCAGCCCTCGCTGGAGCAGTTCACACCCCTCTCACTACCCAAACAGCACATACAGACATGCACTTTTCAGTGGAGTGCTGATACTCAATAGACAAAAGAATTACCACTAACAGCTGCTCTCCTATTCAGAGAGGGAAAGACTAACATTTGTGCAATTGTCTTTGCAGAGACCACGGACTCGATAAAACACCCATGTCAGATTTGCCTAAAAATTCTAGTCCAACATGTAAAGAAATAGTTTCTTACCTTTCTGGGTCTGCCCCTCATCCATGTCTTCTTCCATTGTGCTGATTGTGTTTTTACAGCAACTAGAGATGTGTACAAAAATTGGCCTGTCTGGATCGCAGGTTAAAAAGCTTATTTATTTTAGGAGGAATCCACAAAGCACTTCCTCTTTCTTTCTACTGTCTTACTTTCCTACTTTCTCTAGATATTCCTATGAAACACTGAGATTGCCGATCAGCTGTGGTGTCTGTCAAGTGTCTGGGTGATGCGAGGGATTACTGATTCTTTGTGGTACTGTCCATTGCGAGCTGCTGTGGCAAGTGCTGAAAACCTTCTTGGTCCCTGGTGGAGAAGGAGGAGGAGGAGGAGGAGGAGAGGAGTAGGGGGGCTGGATTGAGCAGAGGGTGGTCTCTATGGTAGGCAGGAAAGCGCATGTGTGACAAAGGGGTATGCAGTTGAAAAAGGCAGGTGTGTGGAAAACGTGGAGTTGAATGAGTGAAAGCAGGACCGAGGCGTAGGCTGAGGCAGAGCGTGGACCCTTTGACTGTGTCCTGCATTCAGCTGTGTTCACGAGCGTGGGTCGCCGTCACTCGCCTTGCCCACCCCGAGCACCCCTGGTTCTCAGACGGAATGGTTAAGCCCGCTACTGCATTAACTCAACCTCTCCTTAAATAAGGGAGGGAGGGGGACATCTGATTTCAAAATGGGATTCTCCTAATCTTATTAGTCGTGCAGATTCAATTATACAACCACTAAGGAGGTGTCATTCGATTCTTACAATGTAAATGCACACCACATGTGTAGACAAACACCACAGGGGAAAGTTGTTTTTTAACCTTTGGTGATTTTTAGATTTAAATTTAAGGATGTTATTATGAAGAATTCATTTACAAAAACAAATAACTATAACAAACAAACCTTCAGAAAACCCACTTTTCCATCGTCTACCTGAGACAATATCAATCAAACTGAGGTTATCTTTGTCATTTCTACTGAGTCAAATCCACTCAACTTCAGTTTGAATGATATTATCTCAAGCAAACAACAACAACAACAAAAGTAACTCTTCATATGTACCACAAGTTGATGTTTTACAGCTCACAGTAAAAATCTGGAATGCTGATTTAAGCTTAAACCCATATACATATACATACACACACAATATAGACACACAAACACAATGCCTAGGCTGCACGAGTCTTAATTATCAAACAGCAGATACTAACATACGGGATCGGTGATATCTGAGACACTGATGAAGACAGACAAATAACAGAGTAGACACAGCTAGACGGAGGGATACATAGATGGAAAGGAGGCATAGAGGAATAATTGGATGGAGTACATTAAACTGCTGTGGAGTGAGATGTGCTGTATAAATAAAATCTGACTTGACAAAGTATGGACAGATGGGTGAATGGATGATCAGACAGGTGGATTAGATGAAACTTTAATGATCCCTGTGGGGAAATCGAGCTTCTGCTGCTGCAGAAGCTAGAAAGCAGTAGAGAGGGAGGCGAGTAAAGAGTTGTGCGGAATGGTGCAGGTAAACACTTTCATTTAAACACTTCAATAGAACTGATGGATGAGTTGTGATTCATCATGAACATGTCAACAGTCATAATTCCTTCTGCATTGTTCCTGTCTGACAATCACTCCCTGATTTAAAAAAAAAAAAAACTCGGACAGCTTCGTTTGTAGGCCGTCAAGAGAACGAGTCCCATAATCTTTATTATACTTTATGGTAATTATGCAAATGTTTCAACATTAATGGAATGATTTATTAATGTTAAAATGAAATGCTTCATTAATGTTTAATTGTTTAATGTAAGACTTTCAATTAATAATTCAATTAGGCTGGTGTAGCTTATTGTCCAACCAAATGGCCTAGCCTCCTTTGTCCACTGAGTACCTCTTTGGAGTTAAATTTAGCGGCTTAGCTTTTTAATTCTAGCTGCATGACTCGAGGGAAGGTGATGCCGGCTGTCAGACGGTCCACTACTTTTCTCCAGACTGAAAGAAATCACCAATTATCAGATGAATTGCTATAAAATTTTGTACAGATATTCATGGTCTCCAGAGAATTCATGTAACCAGTTTTGGTGGCCCCTTGGCTTTTACTCCAGTGCCACTGTGGAGTTGTTTGTTAGAGTTGTCTCCATGACTTTCTGATACTGTTTGGTGCATAAATTGCAATAACTATGTTGTCTGGTTGTTTTCGTTGTACTCTGGTCAACATTATATCTTATCCTTATTCGCATGTTATTGTGAGCACATTAACGTTTAGGTCAAAGAGCCACTGTGCATATGTGATTGTAGATTCTTATTATTGTTTCTTTCACAACGTCAGGATTTTATCCACTCATAAAAAACAGCTTACTCTTCAACAATCTAGTCTGGGCTCTCATCCCAGCTCCTACGGAAACTATGTGCTGCTTTTTTTTTTTTTTTTTTTTTTTACACTTTTTGCGATATAGACAAATTTTTCCAGCGTTTGTTTGGCTACCTTCTTTAGTATCTTTAACCCTCTGAACCCCAAACTGTTTTCATGTGTTTTCTGCCCCTGTCACATCTTCATTCACTGTTTGCTTATGTTTTATAGTATCTCTATAGAAAAAGTACACTTACACTTAGTAGTTAGTCGA